GGGGGAGGGGGAGAGGGAGGGGACAGAGACAAAACACTTCCCAATGGAGGATGATCATGCAGCAATCCCTTCTCCATTTTTCCATTCTGTGAGAATTTGGGGTATGCACATTCATGTGCCTGCTGTGTTTTTGAAGATGCTGGGACCAGGATACAAACTGCCATCAGCCATGTAGAATCTGGCTTTCTTAACCATGAGGTCGTGGGGCTGGCCCTAGCTGAGATTCTTTAGGTCAAGGCAGATGCAGGTTACACAACTGAGCAAGATCTGTCCAGTGGCCATACCTCCTCAACAAAGTGATCTTTAGTGGCCATACCTCCTCAACAATGTGATCTTTTTTTCCCCCTTCTTGCTTTTCTTTTTTTCCCCCATTATAGTCAATGCAAAAGCAACTTTTCCCAAAGTTTTGGGTTACGGGGCACCGTTACCTTTAGGGTATAGTCTGTGGAGTCCCACCTTGGTATACGAAGAGCCAGCTATTAGCATTTCTACATCGGAAAGCCCTGATCTTTCCATGTCCTGTGAAGTTACTTAAAGCAAAGCTAGCCCCAGCCTCTGTGGTACAGTAGGTAATATACCAGATTGAGGAGCCAGAAGCCACATGCCAATGGCAGTTCAAGTGCCTGGCTCAGTTAGCCTGAAAACCAGATACACAGGCTTGCCCAAGATCCTGGCAGTCTGGAGGACTGGAAGAAATGGACTTCAGCATGACCCAGCCTTATGGAAGGTATTCTCTCACTCTGTCTCATGCTTGTGCATGTGCTCTATTATGAATTTGAAGAATAATAAAATTTTTTTAAAATATCAAAGCTATGATGCTCCCTGAATGGCAAATGTCCTCAGGGCACGAGTAATTTTTGTACTCCCATGTTGTATTTGCTTCTTTGAGTTCCCATCATCTTTCATCTTTTGGCCTAGTGAATGTTTTTTTACAATCTCTGTCAGCAAGCTGATCTTTTGGAGAGATACGTGTTATAGCTTATCTGATATCTTCAGTCATTATTAGTGGGCACAGTAGTTGAATAGGCTAGTCTAGCCCCTCGTAAGTGGAAACAGACATTTGAAATTTCATTCATTTTCTTCAGTTTGTATACACACACACACACACACACACACATATATGTATATGTGATATATATATATATATATATACATACACCCATACACATAATTTTTGAAAAACTGCCAGAAGGTGTATGTACTCGCTGGGTAGAGAGAGAGAGCGAGCAAGCACTCTCCATGGAGGCTAGTCATCCTGCAATCTCTTCTCCATTTTTCCCTTCTTTCAGGATTCTGGGGACACACACACATGTGCGCACAGCATGTTTTTCTTTTTCCTTTCTTTCCTTTCCTTTTCCTTTCATTTCATTCATTTATTTTAATTTGACCAGAGGGAGACACAGAGAAAGAGAGGGAAAACGAGAAAGCAAGCCACCAGGTCTGGGACTAGAACCATGGTTGGCCATGTGGGAGTGTCCAGCGCCTTAACCACCACACCACCTGCTGGTCCCCAATGCCCAGCATGTTATTCAAGCCACCAGTTCAAGAAAAAACACACAGTTGGTCATGTGAGATCTAACTGCCTTAACCACCATAACACTGGCTGGCTCCACTTTTACATTTTTTTTTTTTTAATTTTTAAAGGTTTTTGCCATAGGGCATATGCATACACCAGAGAGAGACAGAGAGACTGAGAGGAAAAGTGATAGGTCACCCCCCCACACACACAGGGGGGTGGCCACACCACATTCCTTCTCCTTCATTCTCCTCTTGGGATTTGGGTATGCATGCACATGTGCCGCTATGTTTTTCAAGCTGCTGTGTATGGGACTCAAGCTGTGGTAAGGCATGTGGGAGTCCAGTGCCTTAACCACTGTGCTACCTGCTGGCCTCAAGATTTGTTTTTAGTCATGAGAATAATTATTGAGTGTGCATGAGAGAGAAAGCAGCACCCTCCACAGTGCTCCATTATGCCACCGTTCCTCTCCACTTGTCTTTTAGCCTGTCAAGATTCTGGGCATCCATTCATTAGCTTGCCTTTTCAGGCCTACTGGGCCTAGAACTTACACCTAGTTAGCATGTACTTCCCAGCTCTATAGTCCAGCACTCTACCCACTGCACCACACAGACTGGGCCTGTTGCTTTTAAATTTAAAAATATCTTGCTGGTATTTGCTTTGGCAGCACATGTACTAAAGTGTGGAATATAGAGAAGATTAGCTTGGCCCCTGCACAAAGAGTGACATACAAAATTTGTGAAGCACCTAGGGCTACATTAAAAAAAAAAATTTTTATATATATTTTTTGTTGAAGGTTAAAAATCTTATATCAAACTTTATTTTTTATCTGTGAGCTCTATAGTCATTGTTTCATTTTCTTCTAGCATTGAATTCTAGTATTTTATATTGAAGTGGCGAAAGCCAGCCTGATTCTGGAACCATCAGATGACCTAATGGTTATGTCACTGGACTCCCACATGGCCAGCTATGGTCTGAGTCCTGGACCTGGTGGCTTGAAACTCTTGGTGGGCACATGTGCATGTGTGCCCAAAATTCTGAGAGAACAGAGGAGAAGGGACTGTAGTGTGACTATCTTTTCTGGGGCATGATTTCTTGTTTTCTGTATCTCTGTCTCTCCAGAAAGCACATGTGCCCTATAGCAAAAATCTCTTAAAAAAAGAATCTTGATTCTCATGATCCTTTACAGTTGAAGGAGGTTTTTTTTCAGGAGTTATTTATTTCATTTTATTTGCTGTTATTATTTTTAATTTGATGAGAGAGAGAGAGAAAGTGAGAAAGCAAGCCACAAGCTCTGGGTCCAGAACCATGGTTAGCCTTGTCGGAGTCTGGTGCCCCAACCACCACACCACCTGCAGGCCCCATATGGTTGATATGTTCTTTTTGTATGGATAAACAAATTTTTCATGGTTAGACTGGGAAAAAATTTACTAAAATGAGTCTCTTAACTACTGGATCCCTCTTGTGCTAGTTTAATAGGCAAGGGACAATTCTAACTTCCAAGGAGAATGCAGTTAATCAGATAAATTTTTAAATTTTAATTTACATACTTAGTTTTCACATGTGCATATGCATATAAATATGACTGAAGATACAAATATGGATAAGCATGGACATTTATTATTTATCGATTGCCACTATGGGACTTAAAGTGTGCTGTGTGCTTAATTCATATCTTTAAACATAAGATGTAAGTCCTTGGTTTTAGGGAGCACATAGTCAACTCAAAGAACTAGGTATTAAAAAATACCCCAGTTGGGACCAGCAGGTGGCATGATGATTGAGGCACTGGACTCCTACATATTCAACCATGGTTCAAGTCTGGGTCTTGGTGGCTTGCTTTCTCACTTTCTCTGGCTCTCTGTCTCTCTCTGTCTCTCTCTGATGAGTGTGTGTGCCCTGTATCAAATTAAGAAATAATGATAAATGAAATTACATACATAATTCAAAAAAAGAAGAAAAATACCCCCCCCAAATTTTTTTTCAGATAGAGGGAGGGAGGGAGAGAGAGAGAGAGAAAGGACAAGGTATGGGGAAAGGGAGATAGAGATAGTTTCTCTTTTTTCTTTCTTTTTTTTTTTTTTTTTTTTTGAGAGGTCTTTGC